GAAGTTCAACGTTTTGTTTTTTTTTATGATTGAAGGATGAGGTGACCCTGAGGCCTTTCCAGTTTCACCAGGACAGGCGAGCGAGCAAAGGCTCAGCCAGGAGGGGCGGGATTTGCTAACAGCTGTCCGAGCACCTCCGAAGGAGACCTATCAACTCAAGAGCAATCCTTCGCGAATGAATCTACTACCAGATCGAAATCGTGACTCGCTGAGAAGACCCGGCGAGAAACTCAGCGGACTGATGTATAGGTTAAGTTGCACGTCGAACTCTTTGTCGAGTTCGACGAGTACGGTAACCGTGGTCACTAAGCCTGCTCCTAGTGTTAGAGCTTTAGGCTTCGATTCGACATTTTATTTTGAACTATTAGAACTATCAAGACAGAAGACAGTGAGCCTTCAAATTATGCTTCAAGGCAATAGTTTCGCGTGATCTTAGGCTATGGGAACTACATGAGTTTCTCTACTCATTTCAAAAAATGAAAATGAATCCAACCCATGAATAGTAGCTACGTCTTTACAAATGTTATCCTGTTAAATGATAGGGTTCAAAGATCGTTTCTTTAAGAACCGCGCCAGTGTACTAACATTGTTTGCATGAGAGAGATTAACCTTCGGAGTCCCCGTTCATGTTTGAGGTAAAATATCGGGTGAACCATTAGCTTGCTTTACTTTATGCCAATAAAATAATGTGTTGACTCACTGAAAACACAGCCATGTCAATTTGATCAGCTGTCATTCAACCCAATTGAGATTTCTCAATGCTAATCCACATTTAAAATACAATGTAAATTACAATAGCAGTATAGGTTATTAGATTTTGAATTCTACTTAGGGTATTGCAAGGTTTAAAATAAAATTAAACTCACTGCTTTAGAACCTGAACTGGTTAAGTGGCAAGAACTCCATGGCAGTCGCAATCCTCCCATTCCAAATTATTGCTAGCAGGTCGTGTTGTGAGCATGCACTAGCAAAATATCCCCCCTCCTCTTATTTCTGCCGCGAAGAAGTAATACGTTCCAGCTAGAAGGATAGAGTAACTGTTGTACTGTAGATCTGAAACTTAGAACACATATCTCAAGATAGGAGGCGGCATTCAGGTTGTAGATGTCTATGAGCACCAGTAACTACTTAACATCAGGTGGACCGTGAGCTCGTCCGGCCATTTAAGCTAAAAAAAATAACAAACTAGTGCCATATAACTCAATAATCATATGATCAATCTAATAACTAGTGTCATCGAAGAAGGCGAAAGAGGGAAGAATGAATAGGAGGTCAATTGAAAGGATGTAAATTATTATTTTTTGGTTTGTTACAGGGTGTAGTTTTTTTATAAAAACCCACATGTCAAGTCAAGATAATAAAAGACAAGAAAATAAAAATACCTAATTTCATATTGTTTAATTCAAAGCTAACATGAAATAACAACACTCCCAACATCCACTAGCTAATCTTGTATCTCTATCAATTACAGACACTAAGCCGTTGTTTCGGTTTCGTAGGAATGTCTCATTTGCATAGTAATAGTATCGTTCGGTCTTTAATATTGTTTAACCTATGCACAGTATCTGTCGGGAAACCGCGATAAAATAATTCTCATGAATATTAAAATTTAAGTGCAGCCGATGCTCGTACCGTTTTGCTTTTGTTTGAGGGGAGCGAATAAATTTGAATAGTGTACGAACTCTGAAGTTGTTCATGACAGCTTCGATAGAGCTTTCGTTCGTAATTTGTTTATAATTCTTTCATGGGCGGTAGGCAGCGGCTTGGCTGTGCTCCTGGCATTGCTGACGTCCATGCGTATTCTCGTCAGCCTACAAGGACAATAAAAAATATATAGATGAGTATGGAATTGTTTTTCATAATTTCGCGGCTGGTAACTGTACTAAATGTAAATATGTAAGTAAAATATATAAATAGTGCTTGTAACGAAGTAAGAAAATTTATATTTTTTTTTTACAAATAGTCAAAAGATCTCTTGCTTTGGATGCAAATTAAAATTTGCGGGTATGATGTTTGTTATACGATGTTATTCCTTCCCCGTAGAAGTCGTTTCTGAAAATCTATTAAATACTTATTATATTTTATTAAGAACCGCCGGGTCACGTTGGATGCAGGTGGCAATGGATCGGCCGCACTGGAGATCACTTGGAGAGGCCTATGTTCAGCTGTGGATAATGGACAGGCTGAGATGAGCACGGTCGCGTACCGTCTTTAAGTGGGTAATTCTAGGGATGTCGGCAATAAAAACGTTGCAGAGATAACACGAAGGCACGCTTTCATAATAGGACGTCTCTACCCCATGATTTGCAAGCAAAGCAAATTGTCCCTTCGAAATAAGGTGACACTCTACAAAACTTGCATACGCCCCGTCATGACGTATGCAAGTGTGGTGTTCGCTCACGCGGCCCACACTAACTTAAAATCACTCCAAGTCATTCAATCCCGTTTTTGCAGGATAGCCGTCGGAGCTCCGTGGTTCGTCAGGAACGTCGACCTCCATAACGACCTGGACCTAGAGTCCATCAGTAAGTATCTACAGTCGACATCGATGCGCCACTTCGATAAAGCGGCACAACACGAGAACCCTCTCATCGTGGCCGCCGGTAACTAGGTACATTCCCGATCCTGCGGACAGAATGGAAAGCAGTCGACGTCACCCCAAACACGTCATTTCGGATCCTCCCGATCCACTAACGGTGTTTTTAGGTACCTCAAGCACCGGTCATCGTTTTCGTCGAACCCGTCGCTTGCGACGAAGGGCTCGACGAGTAAATTAACCCATAGTCACAGCCCACTGAATTTCTCGCCGGATCTTCTCAGGGGGTCGCGTTTCCGATCCGGTGGTAGATTCTGCGAAGCGCTGCTCTTACTAGGGTCAGTGTTAGCAACACTCCGGTTTGAGCCCCGTAAGCTAACCTACATGTTAGGGCGAAGCTGAAATAGCCTCTCAAGGCTATCAGCATAAGTAGGGAAAAAAAACAAGAATGCAGTTAATAATTTAATAATCGGATCTACTCGAAGCAAAACAGCGAACGGATCTGCTGAAGCGAAGCGGAACAAGCGAATTACGAATTGTAAAGTGTTTTGTGAGTGATCAAAGTGTTAAATAGAGTTTTAATTTACCCCCCAGCGCGTAACAGTATTTATGATCGTGTGTCAATTTCAAAACAAAAATGTCATTTTCTCACTAAATTTAAATAAAAAATTGAATTCTTCCAGGAACAATAAAAGCGTCGACTTAGTAACAGCGTTGAAGCTTTATGGCGGGCTTGGCTATGTTAAAGACATTGTTTAGTATCTAAAAGGAGCCTTAAAACTTATTTAGAGTCGTTAAATTTCAATTACCTAGATTAAAGACACAACGGAGCATATTTTGCGAGACACTTAAACATTGTTACAGCCTCCTAATCGCTTTGACTTGGTCAACATTAAACCAAAACAGTAATTGGTAGTTAAAATAATCTTCCTTTGAAATAATTATTTAATGAAATGTGTTGAGCGGAAATAAACCTATGGAATCTGAGTTATCATTTTCTATACCCAGTAAATTAGTCGTGAGGAAATCGTCGTAACCCAAATGGTAATTAATGCGTTCGATGCGCTTATATCAATCTACGAGGCTACGGCTCAGCGATCTTCATCCCCCAGTCAGGTACCATTTTTTTTTCTGCTTCCGCCATTTTTTTTCCTAAAAAAGCGCATAATTACTCGTGATATGCGTATTTTTAGCCCGCACGGATGGGTAACGGGATCCTGTTTATTTCTGTTAAGAAGCAGTCACGCGTCATAGGTTTTTTTGTATCTATGCTGATAGCCTTGAAAGGTTGTTTCAGCTTCGCCTTGACGTGTAGGTGAATTCACGGGACTCAAACCGGGAGTGCGTCATGCGGTGTTGAGTGGAATAACCGTTATACTTTGCAATTAAAATTTCGACCTTCTGAATCAAACTAGGTGACCGACATTCACGTTGTCCGACAAAGCTTCTTTCATATTAACAATATTGTTACGCCGGTAAGAGTAACGCCATCTATCGCCGAATAGTCGAACGAATATTGAAGGATCTAGTAGCACCTAGAACGCTTGAGAAGTACAACGCCATCTGTTGTCAGATAGCGGAAACACAATACTCGAAATGTGTTGAATATTCTCGATAATTCTAAGGATGTGGTATCGACTATAAAAGCGTTGCAGAGATGGCATGCAGGCAGTTAGTAACCGGAACCACTCGAAGCGAAACAGCAAACGGATCATCTGAAGCGAAGCGGAAGAAGCGAATTGAGAGTTTTAAAGTGTTTGTTGAGTATTTTAAGTATTCTAAGTGTTGAATACAGATTTTATTTGTACTTCGTGGGAATTTTATTTATCCCGAACCTCAGCGCGTAACAATAGTATGGGGTATCCACGAATCGCCCTGACCGCGATTGCACGCTGCGGGCGTCGCAGTGCCACAGCCTTTCTGCGAGTCAAGGCGCGGCACCACACGGGGGCCCCGTATAGTGCAATAGACCGCACCACCCCCATGTATAGGCGGCGCACCACTATGTCAGGCCCTCCGACGTTTGGCAAGACTTCTCGTAATGAGCGCGGAAGTTCTAAAGACCGTCCAATTCGAGGCCGAGGTACCATACCCGGTCACCCCGACCTCGACGTGGACGCCTCCAATCACCAGGTGGGCCCCGGGTGGCGGCTCTCCCCTAACCCTGTGAACCAGCAGGGTCTGGGATTTCTCGAGCGCCACCTCGAGGCCCAGCCTTCGGATCTTACCGACGACGAAGACGAGCAGACTCTGGGTAGTCCTTCCCCCGGGCCACGACCAACGTGTCATCCGCGTAACTCACAACGCGTAGGCCCGGGAGAGGGCTGTGCAGGACGCACTGCAGAGCCCAGTCGTAACCGATATTCCACAGGAGAGGGCCAAAAACCGACCGAACACCGCACTCGACCGGAAAGCGGAGCACCGCACCGCCGTGTTCGGTGTACACGACCGATCTGTCCTCGAGCTAGAACCCGACTAGTCGGCGGAGATACGTGGGGACGCCGTGATATTCGAGTGTCCCCGCGATCACTGACCAGGGCAAGGTGTTGAAAGCCACCCCACCCCAGGCGACAGCTTTATCAGAGAGGGCACGCACGCGCATAAACGCGTCGATGGTAGAGCGGCCCTCACTGAAGCCATACTGTTCCGCCGATAGATCGGGATCCGTCCCGGTTACGTGCCGGACGATGCGGGCGGCGATAGCTCGCTCCAACAATTTTCTCGCCACGTCCAGCAACACGATGGGTTGGTACAGCAGGTGAGTCCGCAGGGTACCCCTCGGGATTGAATGACCTGGAGAGAGTTTATGTGCATGCAGACCACATGAGCGAATAATTAATACACTTGCATAGATCGTGATACTAATATTGCTTTTCTCCAATGCAAAGCCTCCCGGATCGTATGGTTTTACTATAATATGTATTGATTTTCTAAATCGTGAAATACCTGTTTACTTTCGCAGGCTTCTGAATATCCTCTTGTAACGCGAGCGAACCGAAAGCTTCTTACCCTGCATAGCTCTTCGAATTGCTTAAGCAATTTCGGGAATCGTAGGATAAGTATTGTACGTCAGAATTCTCTGAAGACACATATTCGAGTTCTTCTTAAAACACACACATCTTATCGTTTAACACATAAAAGTGGATTGCTAAGCATTAAGATATTTTCAAGTTGTTCAAGAGAAAATTATCTTTTGTTTCTGTAGATAAATACATATAATAATATGGAGATGAATATGTAAATGGCGTTATAATCTGAAGCCCCATCCACGATAAGACCTCAAAAAGTACATCTAGTAAATTCCCAGTACACCTATATATTCGTATCGAGTGATCTAAGGCAGGCTCCATATTGTCTGGTAGTAATCAAATTCTATACATACATACCTAACACTTATTCAAGAGTGACTTCCACGATGAACTAATATCATGAAATCAAAAGCGTTTTTTTTTCATTTGCGTGTTTCTTAATATAAAGCCGCATGTATGAGTTTTGCTATGTGCTGTTTGTATCTGCCATGAAGCAGTCATTCATTTTGTTATGCTATGCGCTATGTAAAACGAGTGAGATTTAGGGTTCACGTCTTTAGAGTCCGTTGACCACTTCGCAACTGATAGGCATCAACCAGATATAATCTCTATATATAAAAATGAATTGCTGTTCGTTAGTCTCGCTAAAACTCGAGAACGGCTGGACCGATTTGGCTAATTTTGGTCTTAAATTATTTGTGAAAGTCCAGAGAAGGTTTAAAAGGTAAAAAGTATGAAAACAATTTTTACATTTTTTAGTTTTAACAATTTTATACAAAAGTTTAGGTCTTTTAGTTATCGATTGAGGCATTACGAAGTCTGCCGGGTCAGCTAGTAATTTAATAAAAAAACTTCAAAGTTAGGACATCATTAAATCTTCGTATATAATAATACGATAATACTACATTCAGGTAATAAATATGATTAATTGCTGTTAATAAAGTATTTTAAATTGATTTATTTCTTAAATAAATTGTCTTCGTTTCCCGTAAGAACAAATCTTTATTACCCAATGCATATGTACATTTGAAGTAGTCTTGCTTTTGGAAAGAAAGAAAGGAAGAAAGAAATAATTTATTCGCTAAGCATAGTGAAAACGAGTTATTACATAAGTTAAAAGCAACGTGTATGCTTTGTCATTATTTGACATGCGAATTTTAGTGCAGTGCAAGATATTATGATATTAAATAATTTACCATTCATTCATCCATAATTCAACATATAATTAAAAAATCAATTAATTTTGAATGGCGTCCCTAGGAAAATCATTTATGTGATAATAATTTTCACAAATAAGATTATCTTTTAGTTATTTCTTAAAATGAAAATTGTCTAGGTCTCTTAATCTCTTTGGTTATTTATTAAATATTCTAACGCTCATACCTGTAATTGAATAAATAAATAAATTGTATTAAAATATTTTTATATCTTATTTTCCTTTCATCGTAAACCTTCGACAAACGAGATTTGAAACTGTTTATGAGCATCTGCAACCATTACGACTGGTCTGCCGGTGAATGCAATAAAACTCTGAACTATTTATTTATTTGTTTATTAAGGTGCACCAACAAAGTGATCATCGATACAAAACATTGAACAATAATTGACAAAAGTTCATGGCAGATGTCACCTCAATGTATATATTAATACGTGAAGCAAAAACTTTGTATCCCTTTTTACGAAAATTGCGCGGACGGAGGAGTATGAAATTTTCCACACTTATAGAGAATATAGAGAAGAAGTGCACGTTGCTAATATTTTTTTAAAATAATGCATTAAAGATACATTAAATCAATAAAGAAAACATTACACACACTACATACCATGTATTTGACGCACACACGCATGCATACTATTTATTGTCAAACTTTTGTTCTTGACGTCTCTTGTCAAATTGAGAATAGATTAAATATTGTTTGTCTTTATTAATATTTTTTTATAGTGTATCCTTGGCGAAATTTGTGATTATAGAAGTATTAAATACAATCATAATGGTGTACAAACTTACAACTCCAATTAATTATAGTCGAATTTCGACTACTGCGGGACCACTACTTATTATTATTATAGGTGCAATCGACAGTGCGTTAACAACTATCGGTAACAAAATTCACCGACGGCGTCTAGTTCAACTTTATAATACCTACAGAAAAAAAAACCTGTAGTAAGTATGCTTGCTCTGTACATCAGCATTACCATCACGTTTCCAATAACTCAAGGCTATATGTTATTCGGTTCATAAATTCTACGTCTTGTGAGTAATAGAGTCGGCTCGGTGTCATGTTCGTACACAGCATACATTATGTGCTTCTGTTGTGATAAACACTGTGGATACAATTAAGTGATCATACCAATTTTTTCGTTCAGTTCTATCTTTTCATTCGGAAAAAAATAAAATGATAATCGATTTAATTTTATCCTCATTTCCACTCATTCAACAAGAATTCTACTCAGCAGTTTAATTTGAAACCATCATCCCCGGTAATTCAGTTTTACATTTTAGATCAGTTTCATTGTCAGTTTTCGCAGACAAATTTTTTTTGTTTCAATTTAACAATATCAAGCTTAGCGTACTAAAACGTATACTAAGATATTCATACATTGTAGTAAAATATTTATTAAGTAGCGTTCTTATACAATTTTCTCAATGCTTTTAATGGTCTTTTGTAATACAATAAACCAGATAATAAAATAATTTATTCTTTTCATAAATACTTACAGTAAATCTTCGAAAACATTTACCTGCTTCTAACCGCTAAGCCTAAAAGTTGAAAAACTCACGAAGAAATACAAAAGAAGTGTAGCCGAAGGAAGATCTTTTTGTTAAAAAAACTTACTCAAGAGCCAGTACTTAGTACTTCGAGTGGGCTTAATGCCTTCGCAAACTTTGTCTTTAGAAGGTACGGTTTTTACGAAGACTCGGAAATCTTGATAGTTTTCTTGAAAGTATCTTATATTATTACTACATATACGAATTATTTATCAGCATTTCGTCGAAATTCGATTTAAAAAAAATCTCTGAAACATGTTTTTATAAATACTAGAGGTCCCGCAGTAGTCGAAATTCGACTATAATTAATTGGAATTGTAAGTTTGTACACTATTATGACTGTATTTTATACTTCTATAATTACAAATTTCGCCACTATAAAAAATATTAACAAATACAAACAATATTTAATCTATTCTCAATTTGACAATAGACGCCAAGAACAAAAGTTTGACAATAAATAGTATGCATGCGTGTGTGCGTCAAATACATGGTATGTAGTGAGTGTGTGTCTTTATTGATTTAATGTATATTTTATGCATTATTTTAAAAAAATATTAGCATTGTGCACTTCTTCCCTATATTCTCTATAAGTGTGGAAAATTTGATGCTCCTCCGTCCGCGCAATTTTCGTAAAAAGGGATACAAAGTTTTTGCTTCACGTATTAATATATAGATTCCGATGTGTTCCAATATGGCGATACCATAGAGTTTGTTGAATTGTAGAAATAGAATCTGTTTTATTTTTAAGAATTCCTTGCAAGTATGAACAATCCTAACAATATATAATAAACTCATCGTATTAAAGGTAATTGAAAATATATCTTGACAAGTATCATATTATGGCAGATGTCTACAAGTAAATAGATTACCGAATCTATGCATTAGTTTATACCCTTTATTAATGTAATACCCCCTGTAATTCGGAAAAGCAGAATGCTGCTCAGAGTGTATAAAAGTTTCAAAAAGCCAAAGCAAGTTTAAATCTATTCAGATAACGACAGAGTTGATCCTAGCTAACTTTCACTGCTTCGTGTCAAGCTAACAATGTGTTGAATATTTACAATTTGTTTCCCATAGTAATATCTTCTCATCTTCTTCGCTCTATAATTTTTCTTTAACAATTACAAATATAAAAATTTATGTCGGCTATCACTATGGTAGCTTTATTACTCTGAACAGTAGAAAACGTGCTTAAATATTTATAAAATACTAGTTGACCCGGCAGACGTTGTGGTGCCTCAATCGATAAGTAAAAGACCTAAGCTTTTGTATAAAATAAACTTAAAACACACAAAAGGAATCCGTCCGACGGGGGACACATCAAAGGAAAAACAAAATTGTTATTTTTATTTTATTCCGAGCATTTTCATATTTATCTACCTTTTAAACCTTCTCTGGACTTCCACAAATAATTCAAGACCAAAATTAGCCAAATCGGTCCGGCCGCTATCGAGTTTTAGCGAGACTAACGAACAGCAATTCATTTTTATATATAGAGAAGATGTATATGAAACCACAAACAGCCGACTGTGTTTCTCGCCGAGCCTTCTCAGTGGATCGTGTTTTCGATCTGGTGGTAGATTCTGCGTGCCACTCCTGCTTAGGTTAGTGTTAGCAACGTCGTCAGGTGTGAGCCCCGTGAGCTCACCTACTTGTTAGATCACGCTGAAATAGCTTCTCAAAACTATCAGCTTAGGTTGAAAGGAAAAATTGTGTATGAAAAATTTAAAATTTTCCATACCTAAAAGCCGTCAGTGAAACTCGCATCCTATTTATAACATCAAAGAAAATAACAAACGAATTAATTTGAACAAACTTTCCCGAGCTAATCACATTTCAAAAAGGCTCGTTGAAACAAAATACCCTCCGTTTCGCTGTTGAATCAAAAACGTCAAAGACTTTGTTAAGACGCAGAAGTGGACAGTGGCCCTCAAGTCCTACCTCGAAACTTTGAGCCGTTGAAAAGTTTAAATGCTAAACAAAGCAACTAC